GGCTCTTCAAAAAAGGGGGTATTCGGGCATTTGAAAAATTTATCCCCCCTAGGGCCCCCTTGCCCCGGTCTAAAACGGGGGCTTTAAAAACCCGCCCCTTTTGGGGGGGCCAACCCCCGTGGGGGTATTGATGGGGGGTCCCCGCCCCCCCCCCCCTCCCCTCTGGGGTTCCATGACGGGACGGGAGGCTTTCGGGTCGTGTCATGTGTTGGGGTTGTGAGACGATGGCGACATAGTCGGTATGATTGCGGTGGTCACTCAAGTAGATGCATTGCAATAGTCTTTACATATTTAGAGAAGAGATTACCAGAAGAACATTGAAAAGCAAACGAAAGCTGAATTTGGAGCTGTAGAGGGGTAAGGAAACTTGTGTTAACATCGCACTTTCAGTTAGAGACATCTTCCATAGCTATGCGGCAAAATAGGGTTGGTTCTTCCAGCTGTTATCACATAAACTGCTGTAAAGTACCGTTTACTTACGAAGAAGCAACCAAAAAAATGATTTCCATCTGAAATATTTTTTAACTTTTCTGAAGTTTCGCATAAACCGACCAACAGCTAGGTGTTACAGCGTGTGTTGAGAAAATCATACGATCGACTTTCTTCCGGCTTGGTTTCACGATTCTCCAGCTAAACTATAGAGCGTTTTCACTCACGTCGCCAGCATCTATGCGAATTTATTGGAATTTACAAAACAAATGTTTTACATGAGAAAAGAGTTTAATTCCCACATGGTTGGTCTTCTTGGCCGCCGTTTAATTGTTTTGGAACATCAAAATGGCCGCCGTGTCGTCGTGGTCAGGAATTCACAGGACGGTCTGTTACCACGGAAACAGTCCTTGCGCATAATTTTTTTCTTGCTTTCTCCATAGAAAATTCAACCCTAGGAACAGTTATAAGTTTTAAAACAATAGGAATTCCGTTTTGTTGGAATAATCACTTGGGGACATTCCATTCTTCATCCCCGCAACACCCTCCAAGGATGAGGGATTTTTGAATAGGGTAGCTCAGAATCGTCTTCAGAGAAGCCGGCAAAATTGGACCCTTCAGGCATTTAAATGTGCAGACAAAAAATTCATCCTTCAAATTTCATTTTTCAAAGGACACATTCAAACAAAAATTGAGCATTCAGATTCCAGCCATCTGTACTGGTGGGGAGGCAAGGGGTGCAGAAAAATAATAAACAAACCTTTGAAAATAAAGGGGGCTTGAAAGCTGCAGCCCTTCTGTTAAACATCACAAAGTACAGGGAAAACAACTCCTTTTTTTCCCCAGCAACAGAATAACAATGGTTAAATAATCACACCATGAAGTGACTCAGGGGCACCCAACATCAATTTTTGGAAAATATCTGTTCAGAAGACGATTTGAGATCTAGAATTTTCAGAAAATTTTTGTTAAATTTTGTGAGCTAGCAAGGAGATTTTGAGTTTAAAAATGCTATCTATGTTAAGTATATCTAGAAGTTTGAGGTAGGGTGCACTACTTTCTCTACTATGGCTAAAAAATATGCAGCGTATACATTTATTTTGTTTTGTTTGAACTTTAGTTTTTTTTTTATAATCCACTTGGGTATGTGTTTCCCCAACTCATAATTTCATATTTAAGGTAGGGGTAGATAAGTGAGTAATATATTTGTTCGAGGGTGTTTAAAGTTAAGAAATGGTGTAACCTGAAAAGGATTCCCAAGTTTTTAGATATTTTGTTATTTATGTGCTGAATATGGGTAGCTCAATTTAGATTTTTGTCAATGTAGATACCTAAATATTTGGTGTAGTTCTTTTCTTCAATATTGCGTAAATTAAGCTTAAGTTTATTTGCTTTTTGGGGAGAGGAGATTGTCATGTAGTGGGTTTTCTCTAAGTTTACAGGACGTTTATTAGCTGAGCAGTAGCTAAGAAGATGAATTGCTCATTTAAAGTTTTTTCAAGGTCCTGTAGAGAACTGGAAGAGTAGATCAGTAGAGTGGTGTCTTCAGCAAAATTAATGTTCTAATATTTGCCTTTTCTAAACAATTGGGCATGTCATTTATATATATATCAAAAAAACAGAATTAGGCCAAGGGTAGAACCTTGTGGTACACCCCATTGGATAGAAAGTGGGTTTGTTTTCACAATTTCAACTTCAACATACTGTGTTCTGCTTTCAAGATAGCTTTTAAACCACTGGAGAGGGACACCACGGATCCCGTATCTGTATAACTTCTGTAGTAGGATCTGATGGTTGACAGTATAAAAGGCTTTAGATAGGTCAAGAAAAATACTGCATCTAAGCTTCATTGCTGTGAATTGTCATTTTAAGATTGTCAGTGAGTTCAAGAATTGCTTGCTCAGTAGATTAATTTTTCCTGAAGTCAAATTGGTGTTTAAATAGCATGTTTTCTTTTTCTAGGAAATAATTTCGCTGATTGTACACTAGTCTTCAAGGATTTTATAGTCACTGCACCAGTCTTAAAGACTGGGGTACACTGTAACCTTTGAGATCTTGAAAATATCCAGGACAATACCTGATTCAATTGATTCATTAATTAAGTTTGTGAGGGGAGTTGAAAGCAGATTGCTGGCAATCTTGATTAGATAGTTAGGGATATCTATAGTGGCTTTGTGCCTATATGAAGGCCAGATAGTACTAACTCAATTGGTGCTGAACCCACTGGGGAAAGAAAAAAACTAGAACTATGAGTTGCTGGGAGGAAAGCATCAAGTTTTATACTTGAGTGAATTGTAGATGCCAAATTTGGACCAATATTTACAAAGTACTCATTGAACTGATTGACAATGTCATGTTTGTCGGTGTAGGTTTTTCCATTGTAGTGGAACTTTGCTGGCACACAGTGTGCCCTTTAGGTTTCCTGTTTATAATGGTGCCAATTAACTTCTATGTATTTTTTAGGTTGTTCTCACTTAGTTCAAATTACTGCTTATAGTAGGATGACTTACAGGTCCATTTCAACTTATTCAGAGTATTGGGTATTTTTTATAGTAAGCTACCTTGTCTAGATCTTTAGGGAGAAAGAGCATGTGATACATTTTCTGCTTGTTTCTTATAGAATATTTTAATAGGGTGTCTGTTATCTAGGGTTTGTGAATCTTTTGCTTTAGACGGCTACGGAGTATACAATTAATTGGCGCATGTTTATTGGCTATGCCTTTACGTTTCTCGACAAAGCTGCTGGCTTTAGTGTGGATCGATGTCAGTTGGGTCATATAGGATGCCACTTGAGTCAGCTGACTTTATGTCAAAATAGCCAACCACTATTGTAACTCTATCACATACTACACAACAACTTGATCCTGGTTGTTCAAAAGATGGATTATGCTATTCACTGGATTAAGTGGATAAGT